CCCGCGCCCTCCCCGCCTCCCCCTCTCCAAATGCCAAGCTGCCAAAGAACTGATAGCCGACATGGCAGCTAACGGCATCATCGAGCCCTCTGACAACCCATGGGCCGCGCCTATGGTCATGGTGCGGAAAAAGGATGGTGGGTGGCGGCCCTGTGTGGATTATAGGCGCCTTAATGCGGTCACCCGCAAGGACTCCTACCCTTTGCCCCGCATCGACGACGCGCTGGACTATGTGGCTGGTTCCAGCTGGTTTAGCTCGCTGGATCTGCGCAGCGGGTACTGGCAGGTAGAACTGGCACCAGAGGCCCGCCCCAAAACAGCATTCACTATTGGGCAGGGACTGTGGCAGTTCCGGGTGATGCCATTTGGACTCTGTAATGCTCCAGCCACCTTTGAGAGATTGATGGAGCGGGTCCTCAAGGACATTCCCAGAACCCGCTGCGTAGTTTACCTGGACGACTTGCTGGTGCACGCGAGGGGCTTCACGCAGGCTCTGGATAACCTGCACGAGGTTTTAACCTCCATCAGAGACGTAGGACTACGGCTGAACCCAGCCCAGTGTCACCTGCTTGCATGTCAGACCAAGTTCCTGGGACGTGTGGTCAGCGAGGGGGGCGTGGCTACGGACCCGGAAAAAGTGGCTGCAGTGAGAGACTGGCCCACTCTGCAGAACATAGCGGAGCTGCGCAGCTTTCTAGGACTGGCATCCTACTATCGGCGGTTCGTGAGAGGGTTTGCCACAGTGGCGGCGCCCCTCCATCAGCTGACAAACAAAGGCCGGGGGTTTGAGTGGAGCGAAGACTGTGCTGCTGCTTTTGGTCAGCTAAAGGCAGCGCTGGTGGAGGCACCGCGCGGCAGCCTCAGCCAGGCAGAGAGGAACTACTGTGTCACCCGACGGGAGCTGCTAGCTGTCGTCCTGGTGGTGCGGCACCTTAGATCGTATCTCCTGGGCAACAGATTTGTGTTGAGGACGAACCATGCCAGCCTCACTTGGCTCATGAATTTCCGCCAACCTGAGGGACAGGTGGTGCGGTGGTTAGAGGTGCTCCAGGAGTATGATTTTGAGACTCGCCACCGTCCGGGATGGCAGCACACCAACGCTGACGCACTCTCCTGTCGTCCCTGTATGACAGAGGACTGTCGCTATTGCAGCCGGCTGGAGG